TTTGATGTTCAGTAGATCCGATCGCTTACAGCTTGTGTCCAACTGTAATCATTTGTACGTACCATGTGTCCGGCCTACCTAACAGTAGTAACTTGGATGTAACGATGTGTCTTTGATCTTCAATCGTCGACGTAGATCAGAGCTTTTGGTTCCCTGTTTTGCTTATGTGATACGAGGAATGCCTAAGATCACACAAGTACATTCTTCACAAGCTTTTTCGAAATGGGCTAACATTTGCTCTGCTTCTTCGATAACCACTGTAAAGAATGCGATATCATTGACGAGGTGAAGATGGGATGATGAAGTTTTCAACCGTCGATTTTCTTTTACCTATTGTCCCATTCTAATTTTCACATGATGTTTACCAACAATTTTTGCGTAATCGTATCGCCTTATCGAACTCCTCCTTTCACCTTATTGTAAAGCGCTATCATAAAAATTGTTGTTGAAGCTTCCATAATAGACTGCTATATTTTTTGTATCTATAGAAATAATTTCTTATTGCAGTTACAACTGGCCGATATGGTCTACGTTGACAGCCCAGTTGGTGCTGGATTTTCTTATGTAGATAATGAGGACGCATTTACTACAAATGTCACTCAAATTGGTCATGATCTATTGGTTTGGATACGGCAATTTCTCGTCATTCATCCTGAATACCGTATTCGTCCATTTTTTATATTTTGCGAAAGCTACGGTGGTAAAGTCGGAGCAGAATTTGCTCAACTCATCACAAAAGTATGTGGCCTTTCAAAAATCATAATTGTTTTATTAATTAGTTTTGAAAAACATCTCTGTTATACACGTTGACTAGCAATTCTTTCAATTCGGACCACCTTAGTGAGGTGATTGAGATTTTGTGAACTTTCAGTATTCTCTTTGAAAAACTTAAACGTTTTTATTGTGATTCATTTTTGATCAAAGATCATTTTTTTGGAAATATTCCAAAATATCGTCATTATATTATAATAACTTAAATGATTCTAACTAGAAAAATATACCGTTTGCTAGTTATCTAACGTACGGATTTAGGAGATCGACATCGGTAATCTACAATTGAATTTCTGTGGCTTAGCCCTCGGAGATTCATGGATCTCCGCAATGGATTATGTGAACAGTTGGGGCCAGTACCTTTACGCTAATGTAAGGATTATGTTTTCCCTCATTCAAACTTAACAGAAAAAAAATATCGTAGGAAAAACTGGTCACTAAATATTTATTGATAATTATTCTGTAATATACATGTCAAGATTATCTGTCTTGTTCTATGGCGAGCACTGACGACAACCGCTATGTTAGATTATGAAAAGAATTACGCACAAATAATCTTTTGTATATAACCTCATTGCGGAGGTACATGCGAACTCGACAGCAATACCTATTATTGCAAATGGATATCATCCATGTGATTATTTTGACTAAGTCAACGACAAATCGGAAAAATGACTCGTCATAAATACTCAAGCTAAGATCCTCAACGGTAGCAATTTTTGTGAGATTCACTACTCACTCCATACAAGGCAGTAGCACGAAGAGTTTTGCTGAGTTAAAACATGCTGAGGCTATCATTCAGTTATGGAGTAATTACCTCATAAGAAGTTTCAAATTCTGATTTCAATTGGATGAAGTAAATTGGAATATCTTTGAGGCTTTCTCGCTTCAGGCGAGGTTTTGAAATTTTTCAACGTAGTGAGTATCGTAATGTAGAGGAGGTGTCGATTCAAGTACGCGCTACTTCTAAGCAAGATGGCATCCTCCCGGTAACGCTGTTGTTGGTGAATACGAAAAATGCATTGTCTTCTTCATTTCACAACGTTAAAGCCTTCCGTAAATTTTCATAGAAGCTTTATTCAGATGCTATTCAGTTACAGTTGTAAATATAAACACATAAATATGTCATTGTTGTTTTTCTAGTCGTACCTGGACAGTAATCAATTGGCCCGTGTTAATGCACAAGCTAAACAATGTCAGAAGAAAGTGGATAACAATCAATGGACTAAGGCTACTATCTGCTGGAATCAAATGGAGGATCTTATTGAAATGGTCGACATTCTATGGAATTTTCCCGCACCTTGAAATCAAAAGCGTGATGGTAATTCGTTTCAGGAGACTGCTGGTGTTTCATGGTACAACATTCTGAAGCGAGGTGGAGAGGACGATTGATCGAAGAAACGACGAAAAAGATCAAGCTCTTTACGATAAAGTACGGAAACTGTTTCCGTTTTATGCATATGGATTAGATGAGAAGAATTAAAAAGTGGCAAGAAAGCTTCCATTTAAATAACTTTCACCCTAGCTTTCACCCTTTTAACTTTCACCAAAACTTAAATGCCAAATGGTCTATACATTTTGCCTCAACTGAACTATTCTTTATCAAATGAATGCTACTCATCCCTCCATATGATTTTTGCACCAATTCACCGACCCTGCGTAAGAGTGGCTGATTGGAGTATGGATTTGAACTTGCGTTGAGCTAGGTCCTCAAATAAACAGGACGTTTTTTCATATTCCAAGAAAGCTTCATCGGGCTTATCTTGAATAGTCTTACCTCACCGTAACAAATATTTTGACACGCGTTTCTGATTCTTCAGTTCTTTTTTTGACAATTGTTCAACTGAATAGGTTATAGATTGTGTTTGAAAGTTATACATGACCAACAAGTATATATGAAAATGTTTATCATGCTGACCGTTGTTGCTGTGAGGTAACAGCGATTTGCTGAATTTTTTCAAAACTCGTTGAGAACCTCCTTGGCCAACGTCTAGCACTTATCAGTATTGATTGAGTTATCGGTTTAGATCACATTTTCAATCGTCACCTTACGACTTATCAATCGTCCAAGCTTTCGAATTATATGGATACTACAATTCGCGATAAGCTTGGAATCATTCCTGATCATGTTAAATTTGGAGGTGAGAAGAATGCTAGTGGGATTGGGTTTTTTATCTATTATAAAAAATTTTTTGGAATAATTTCTCTTGTAAAGATCTGTATTTCAGCCCAATCAGCCGCGGTGTTCAGCCGACAATCTGAAGACTTTATGAAGCCGATTTGGTCTACAGTTGATGAACTTCTAATTAATGGTACGAACGTGATCGTCTACAACGGTAATCAAGACCTCATATGTGACTCGATTGGTCAGTATGATACTTTATCGGTGATTTTTTATATCTAAATAAAACTTTTGAGTACGATAACTACTAGCCGTTATCTGGTGAGGAGTGGGTGAACGTAAGTCACTATATAGAACAGGCCCTCATTCACTCACCTCCACGATATCAAGTTGAACACGAATGTGTAAGCGTGTTTCGTCAGAAGGGATTGATCAACGCCAAAGCTTATCTTTTCTTAAATAAAATTTGTTGTTTTTTCGATTCTAGTTGCGTTTGTTTTTTCCTTCGCTTCAGCTGAATAAATTATCAATAATTTTTTAAGTATTATAAATTATTCGCCTATGTTTTTACTGTTTAACTATTATCAATTTCTTAAGGCACAGAAATGTGGATGGATCGATTAACATGGACAGGAATGAAATCGTTCAAAACCATGAAGAAAGTGAAATTCGGTACAAAATCGTTTCCATTGGCCGGATTCATGAAGCGCTACAGTAATCTGTCATTCTATTTGATACTCAGAGGTGGACATATGGTGAATATCTAGCCTTGAAGTTCTTCCTAATAGAATTAACCTTAACCTTAATACTTCAGGTGCCACATGATACTCCTGAGGCGGCATTGAAAGTAGTACAACAAATTTTGATCGACTATAGCTCATAGCACGTTTTTAAAAATGAGGTCATTGCTTTTTTCGAGAATTTCAACAGTAATAAATTATTCAATAATAATAGTGTAAGCCATGTGAGTTGGTAGAATTGCAAAAAAAGAAAGCTTAGCAGAATCCAGTATTAATAGGAATGAAATGAATTTGAGAATGAACTCAATCTCTAAAAGGAATGAAATATTTAGAGGTGAATACAATCAAGCAGAAGTTATATTTAATTTTCTGCATGGAGTAGATCAAACGTGTAGAGGTTGAGTTTTCTTGTTCTATAATTCGTTATAGAAGGACTTCTCTATGACAAACGAATGGCCAGAAGTACTGTACAGGTCCAAATATTGTTTTAACTTCGCATTCAGCACAGCTGAAGCTTTACTGATGGATTCTACACGTGTGTGGTTAGAATATATCGCAGAACATAGGTAGCACTTACCTGATATCAGATTATTCCTCGGTACCTCAGTCAGTTATCATGCAAAGTAAACATCATCGTCGTCCCAGAATTTTTAATGCGAATGTAGAGTAAATGCACACTGAGGGAAAGTAGTACGAAAAAACAAACTCATAAAGCTTTAGACTTTACCTAATAATTTACAAAAGCGGAAACCAACCAAGAAGGTTTTGAGTTAAGTGATTAAGCTGATTTTCTTCATTTTTCACACTGACTCTTTACAAATTCGTTACTGATGTTATTTAGAAGATTTGAATTTTATTTATTAATTACATGAGCATATTCCGTGATTGCACGGTAATCCAAAACAGGATTCACTGTCATCATTGCAACTTCGTTGTGAGCAGAACTCCTTCAAAGCCACTATGAAAAACGGAAATCCATGCAGAGCTAATGCCTAAATGAAACACATTTATACCTGGTGTACAACCTTTTTGAGTTAGAGAAGGAAAAGGGAGTCTGAGATAGGAATCGAAACCTCATCCCGCATATTCTCATCCTGAAGTGTTCTACATGGCACTACTTAAATTCGTACCCCACATTCACTTAGTATTTCTCCAATTCTTTGTGATGACATGCTATCAGCATATGTTTTATAAGAGGGGATATTTCAAATCAATATCATATTATTATAACGTATCATTATCTATAGTGAGGGAAATTAATAAGTATGGGGATCCACAAGAACTCGATATAATTGCTTTTCAACGAAAAACTTTCATACCACTACGTTGTAGTAGAAAAAGCCGCATTTGATTGGAATAAAACATCCCTGAAGCACAAGGAATCGAACTCTAGACCCTTCCCATGCCAAACGAGCGCCCAACCACTGAGCCGTACCTCAACTCAATCCTCTTTCTAGTTTTAGTCATGTAACTGTTGAATTACGAGCTTGGATATAATAAATAGTTCAAGCCGTCATCCGTGTATAGTATGTAAAAGTAGGCTTGTACGCTTTATTAATATTTACAATATGAAAAATAATTTGGTGAGCATAACACTTCTATAGAAAATTATTCCTCGTGCTGGTTTTCAAGGAAAGTGAGTTACGTATAGCCGTAATTTTCGCTTATGAAATTAGTGAATGGAGCAGTAGTGGTGGCGCGACAGTGATAGGCAGACCCGAATCAAGTTCACAGTCGGTCTCAGGACTGGGAAGCTTAGTACCTATCGGTGATGATAAATGGTTACCAGGAAATTAGCAACCATAAATATAACTTATTCTATCATATGTGACATAGATTCGAACAAGTTATTTTGAAGAGGATTGATGACGTAAGATATGAAGTTGACAATTATCACAAGTCGTCGAAAAAGCCTTATCACAAGTGGCTTTTTATGAAGACTTGTCTTATTTTCACACTGAGGAGTGTTTTTTATCGAAGTATTTTATGCTTATTTGTTTTAATTGATGGTATGCTTCATGCTCTTTAATGTAGCCAGGAAGTAGAGCAACATTAAAATGTTTTCATACTCTTATGGAACTCTTTATGACTCAGAAGTACGGTAATTCGCCAATCACATAACGAAAGCTTGAAGAGCGCGCTCCTCGGTGAGGATTACACTACGTTTAAAATCCAAAAAAATCTATTTTGAAGGTGATATGTTAAAAGCTGGTGTTGTGCTTCTAGTATGGAATAGAAGATTTCTCATGATGATTTTTGTAAGAGAAGGTTGGTAGAGCGGTAGGTGAAGAATCCCAATAAGATCACACGGTCATCGATGGAGTAACACACACAGGGACTTAAGTGGATATCTACAGAATGAAGAGAAATGTTTTTGCTCTAAACAATCGTTCATAATGTAATCTCTTAAGTCACCACATGGGCAGAGAAACTATTGATCATCTACTATAGGCGATGATTGTGACTGAGCAATACAAATGGAAATAATGAGCAAGTTAAGGAGTTACGTGAGTGACAAACGGTTAAAATTTCATAATATAGTTCACTTTCATATGAACCAGAACGAAACTTTAGCTTTTGATTGATTTTCTGTTGATTTAACAGCGTTATCAAAACGTCCTACTAGGGTTGATAACTCCGAAGGAGTCTTTGACAAATAGAAGTCTTATTCTTAGATATTTGCTTAATACAAATAATTTTGAGGTTTCCTCCTCTCCGACATGGCAAATCAATAGTTTAAAGAATGACTCGAATTCAGTAATGAGGAAAAAAGCCTACAGACTTACCTCAGCACATTTACAGTATCCATTTCGACATGAATTATTGAGTCCTCCACAAAAATCATCGTTTTCACATGGAATATTATTAATACAAGCATGACAATTGCATGTTCCAATATTAGCGCCAAGGCAGATACCCTTAAAATTTGAACTGGTTGATTTAGGAAAATAAATGAGAGCCTCAGGCAAAAGGCTAGTGAAAGACTCTCATATGAGTGTTTTGGTAAATGAGGATTTGTTAATAAAGAAGCTATCAGTTTAATTAAAATGTTTGGTTCAATTGTCACCATTGAGGATTGGAATAGAATGAGTAGAAACTTGTGACTTAAAAGATTAATGAGGAATTTTTTTTCTAATATGTCCGGTTATTCCCTTAGATCCTCCACTATTGCTTGAAATTCATGTGATTCATAGAACAGTAAGCTCGAAGGGTCAAATAAATCAATATATCGATCCATTGTACTCATTTTTTTGAGAAATATACAAATTTGTGAATTTAATAAAGTTATGAATACATTAATAATAAAATATTTGTGGCTATGATTTTTACCATTTTAGAAGGATTAATAACTCAATTATATTTCAACAAGAGTTTCGATTTCATTTCACCTCATTTGAATATTTAAATAGAAGATTTTATAAGAAGTCAAAACAACCTCACCTTACCACAATCACTATCTCTATAACACGTGCGGTTCACGTGACATCCTTTGTGATTGTATTCGTGAAAATTTGAATATACTTTTTTCAAAGTAGATGACGCAACTGTAGATTTCTTTTTATATGAAGTGAGTGAAATAGAATATGCTGCTGTTGACGTTAACACTGCTTCAAGTGAGACGTTTGACGTTATAATTGAAGAAGTTGGTGTCTCTGATGAGGTATTATCGATAGAAGCTAATGCCTCATCTATTGAATCTCCACTTCCTTCATTGATTTCTCCTACACTAACATAATTCCACGGTGGAGGTAGGTAAGTAGGATATGGCGGTGATGATTTCAAAACAGATGAGTGATTTCTTATAAAAGTTATATTATTATCAATCTGTACGACCTCATTTGTCATAAGATTATCTGGTGTGGTTTCGCTGAGGAATTTCGCTACACTTTGATCTTCATGTGAGAATTTAATTTTGTCCGATGATTCCTCACTACCACTTCCCTCAATATGCTGGACTGTTTCATCAACGAGATTGTTCGGACTTTCGATGAACGCTTCTTGAAGAGCATCTTCAATTTCTTGATCCAAAGATAAGAACAAGTTGTCGTCGTTGTCTTCTTTTATCGGCAATGCGCTTTCTGAGATCCGATAAACTGAAAAGAATCTAGCGAAAGCATTTTGTTTTTTTTAAATTGAAAGATTACAGTATCCTGATTAAAATTGTACATTTTATATGAATACTTCTGTGTGAAAAAAAACTACCTCATAGTTTGTTTCTAAAAAAAAATCTACCTCAGTGACAGACATCACTTTCTCCTCATTTTCACAACGATATCATCTTGTTTGCTCTTTTAAAATTCTGTTTAAATCTTTACAAATACATTTTTATATGTATATTTTTATATTTAAACTAAACTGATTCAAAAAGTTGAAGATAAAATCATATGGCCTGAGGCTTATTGAGGATTATTTCTTCAGGTACATACAGGGTTTAAGTATGTTTCAATGAAAATCACTCATCAAACTTTCTAGTCTTATGAGGTATTATAAATACTCAAAAATCGTTCAACAAACATCCATAGATCGTTAAATGACAGGTGATTTCTCAGTAAACCGTATAGGCAAATAATGTTGGTAATATTTTCTAACTCAATAGTGACGTCATAACCCTTAACTATGGAACATTGGCATTGTTTTAACTTCACAAACGTTATGTTAATCTTAATTAAGGAGAAAAAAAAAGCGAATAAAAACAGCTGATTATGGACTGGATGGAATCTCAAAGAGTCACAGATTCAGTGAATGTTCAGAGCTTTAGAAAACCATGTAGAACAGGAAATTTCAGTAAAGAATATTATGATAATTCATGGCTGAAGAAGAACATTTCCTGGATGTAAATTAGTGAAAATGAGGCTTTTTCGCCTTGAGTTTTCATGAACAATTTTCAAGAAATTCTAAGGCCTTGCAAGACAAAAAAAATTCAAACTAGGCTGAAAATTAGCTTCAACTATACTGTGAAGCTTGGAAACAAAGCGACGTCTGCAAAATTTCGTCAAAAGGTCATTTCGTCATTAATGGACTTCATGAGGAATCCACATCGTAGTTTTGAGTATGTTTTTTTCATTATCTCTTCTAGGCCTATTAATGCTTTTTAGAGGTAACTCCTTTCTATTTTCCTTAATGATGCTCATTTAATCGCACTTCTTGGAGCCTCAGGCGGTATTCGAACCAGCATTAACATATGTTAGGTCAATTGTGGTTAGCAATTGGACTATCGAAGCACTTGCTCTACGACAACTCTATGCTTCACCTATTCTAAGTGGATATTTTGCACTTTGACCTCTTTCTTTCTATGTTTCTTTTGAACTCAATAATGGCTTAGTGCTACATATCACTGCTACAACAACTATATCATTGAATATTTCCATTTAAATATCAACGGTTGTACAGATGCTAACTCATCATAGAGGAATGGAAGCTTCAGTTTTCGAGTTCCACGCAAGGGTTCGTGTTTTCTGCTTAACTCACTCATACACGTTATTAAAAGGACATGAAAGGATATCTCATTTAGAAGATAATCTTATTGTAACCTAAAATAACTGATATAGAATAAAAATAATTATGTAAATTTCATGCGGTGCTTAGAAAGTGAGGTGAAATAGACAAATATTTTATTATTGCATATGTATATGTAGAATATTTTTTCCGAAAAATTGTTTGAATAAATCGACAAAAAAAAAGCAGAGCCTCACCTAAAAAGAGGAAGATGATTGATAGAAGCATTGAGATTGAGCGATGAACAGCCTGACAACCAATGAAATCGTGTCAGGAATCTGAGCAGATCAAAAACGTGCGATATCCTCGCAACAAAGAGGAATGTAATCGAATATCGAAATGCGGTAGTGAAAAGCAGAGGTGTTCTCGTTTTCAATTGTCCTGTTTGTTTCTTCAATAACCTTGATCTACCTCAATTTATTTTATTAAGTTTGAGAAGAATAGATACAAGTAGATCATAATTTTTGTCAAACAGATCACAATTTGTAAGTATTGGACGAGAAATATTGAAAAAAGTCATATACATATATTTAAAAAGCGACTATACAAAATTTTCACTTTAATAAAAAATAAAAGTGATTAATAAAAAAATACTAATAGGCGGAATTTGACAAAATGCTTATGAAAACGAAAAAAAGTTCAGAAGATCATATTCAAACTAATCGATAACATTTCTACGGAAAAAATTATGAGGTGTCCGTTCCTCAAACAATTTTCTTTACTGAACTTTTCTAAAAGAGATGTATAACGTTTTGCTTCTGAAGAAGCAAGCCCTTACAGGTCGAATTTCTTGAGGGACAAAAATCGATTGACAAAAAAGGATAGTCACTCATTTTTCTCTGAAGCCATACCTCATTTTTTATGATTTCTATCGTTTTACTCATCCACAAATATAGGAGAACGTTACTAACGTTAATTTTTATTGCCAGAAGTAATAAGCTTA